TCAACTAGTAGAGAAAACACTGTATTATTTTAAAGCATTATCTCTATGAGTTCAAATTGACATCCGTAGCTGTAAAGCATAGATGAAAAGTTTAGGTAATATTGAGTTTAAACCACTCCTTCACAAAGTAATTTGGGGAATTTTTTTTTCCCTGTAAAGGAGGTATTAGGCCAAATAAATTTGGAATCTATGGATTAAGGTAATGGTAGTGAAATAATTCAGAAATACATAGCAAGAATGGTAACACAATGTCAAAAATGTAACCAAATCAAAACCCTTCAAGCTAATCTTAGGTTTCCAAAGATGTAAATCTTTATGGGGGTAGATAGCCTCATCTTTCTCCCAAGGAGTGGTTGATGAATTTGAACTGCTGACCTTGTAGTTAGCAGCCCAACACATAACTTATTAAGCCACTAGGCTCTGAAGAATGTAACCAGTTGTCACTGAATTGTACATGTAGGTATTATTGAATAGACTTATGTTTCCATCGCAAAAGATTAATACACACACACACACACACACACACGAAACTCATTCCTATTGGCTTTGTGTGTCAGTGATATTCAACTGAACAAACATTGATTACAGGAGACTCAAAGTAAGATATGCTTTTAGGCTCTCATTTATTTAAAAATATATGAAGATCTGGCTTAGAAGGAATTCTGAAATTAAGTTCACTTCTTTTTGCAAGTCTGCTCAAAAATTTTCCCGAGTATTGTTATAAAACAGTTAAAAAATACCAACCCCTTGCTGCCATCAAGTTGATTCCAACTCACGGCCACTCTGTAGGGCAGGGAAGAACCCCCGACCCCCCCACCAATGTCTCCAAGGCTGTAAGTGTTTACAGGAGCAGAAAGCCGCATCTTTCTCCCAGGGAGCAAAGGCTGCTTTCTGTCAATCGTGAGGCTAGCAGTCCCACACATAACCATAATGCTACCAGGGATCCCAATCTAAAAACATCTAACAAAATGTTATAATATGTAAGGTTTGCTTCAAAATACCTGGTAAAGTAAGGGGAGATAAGTCAACTATCCAAAAAACAAAGGATGAAATAAGGCAGACCATGAATTGATAATTGCTAACAGTTGAAAGTGGGAAAGAAGTATTTTGTTTTTACAAAGAAAAGGCTGTTGGGTTGAACTGCTCTTTCTTGTAAATGTGTCTGTACCTTCAGTTAAATGATGCAATAAACAGTTTCGCTTCTAAAGCACTCTTCCATAGCTACACAGCTGTTTGGTGGAGTGAAGGAAAACAGCTGACAACTTGGTATTCCTGGCACATATCAGCATGCTTCATACTCTACTGGTACTTGATCCACTAGCATGTTAATCATTCAGTCTACTCAGGTATGTTAATAAGATAAGACCACTTCAAAAAGCAAGATTTTGCTATAAAAACCTTTCATTTTACAAGCACCAGAATCCCATTTTAAAATCATGCGAAGAAAGTAAATCTCTAAGGAACAGTTTAAAATCAGTAGTTCTTAAATAATGGCAAATCCTACCTTAATCTTTATAGACATGGGTCTTGACTCCTCACTTGTTCCCTTTAAAAACTCTCTGGAAGTAAGACTGAAGATGGGAAAAAGTTCACAGGAATGAATTCTTCCTTTTCCCAGGAAGGAATTTCAATACAATGTGAAACCCCTGTGGCCCAAGTATAATTTCCATTTCTGTTCTGACAAGAATATGGAGTGGTAAAACCCGCTACGCCTGTATCTGTTAGGATAAACTGAGTCAGTACAATGCAAAGAGCTGAAAAAGAGCTGCAAAGCACTGATTTACCACAGCCTAACTTTTCACGTATGGATATAAAACCAACTATATTCCAGATCTATAACTTAAGCTTTCTGTAATTACCGAAGAGATGACATTGCAAGGATTTAAAAACATAAACATCCCTTTTTAGAAGACAAGGCTTATAGCTGTACCTTCATCTATAAAGGTTTATCAAACAAAAAACAAAAATAACACACTGTTGAGTCAATTCTCATTGCTGATGTTAAATTCTAATAAAACTTGGGATAGTCAGGTTTAACAAGTGGGGTCACGTACCTGCTCCCTGTACCAAAAAGTGCTGGTTTTATGCTTTCAAGCCATTTTTTCTGCTCCTTGAGGAAATGTGCAAATACTCTAAGAACGGGATGGCCACCTCATTTCTGCGCGCACGCACACACACACACACACACACACACACACACCACTTAATATAACATTTCAAACCTAAGAGCTATTTGTGGGGATGAAAATTCTGATTTTTTTAAAACACCACCAATTAATATGTCTTAAGACTTGATGGACATAAAGAGCACCATACTATTTTTTAAGTATACTGCATTTGAAGAATTCTTATCCGTAACAAAATCATAAAACTCAAAGACAAATATAAACCAAGTCTCAGTGAATTTGGTAGTATTATATAAATTTCACTTCTGAAACTGTACAAGTGATAGAACACTGTTACTGCTCATTTTCAGGCTTCATCATCAGTAACCTCTTGACTGGTCTCCTCCCTCCAGATGCCTTATATTCTCCCCTCACCTGGCTGTCTGGGTGGTCTCTGTAAACACTAGCTTGCTTTCACCATGCTGTTTCTTACCACCTCATTCTTGGATAGCGTGAACATTCTGTCCAAAATACCAAATACACTAAAGTATAAGCTGACCCGAATATCAGCCAAAGCACCTAATTTTACTCCAAAACAGAATTAAAAATGTGCTGAAAAACTCGGCTTATACACGAGTATATATGGTAATCACCTTTGACAATCTCTTCATTTCCTCCTGCATCTGGGATGGATTAGACTTGCCTGCTCAAAAACAACTTAGATACTGGTGCACATTCTCATAACTCATCTTTTCAAAGAAATTATGAGATATGGCTCTTTTCCCCAACTGGGAAAGGTTTATGAGGGCAGGAAATGATTAAGATGTCTTAATCAACTCATCTCTCTTTAGTATCTACCACATTGCCTGAAACATGAAAACTCACTGCCATAGAGTCAATGCTGACTTACATGACCCCGCTGTGGGTTTCCAAGACTAACTATTTACGGGAGTAGAAATCCCAGTCTTTCTACTGTGGAGCTGCTGGTAGTTTCACACTGCCAACCACGCGGACTGCAGTCCAACTCATAACTACTACACCACCCGGGTTCCTTGACACATGAAGAGTGCATTAAATGTGCATCTGAATGAGCAAAGTCCAAACTCACTGTCTTCTCCGTCTTCCCACCTATTTTTTTCTGTTCCTTGAGGAAATGTTCTCAAATTCTGATTCCTCATCTACTAGCATAAATAAGCTACAATCACCCACTTTGCAAAAATTATAACCATAACTTCCCTAACCACCCAACTGGCTCTGCTGAGAGTAGGTAAGTAAAAGCCCGGGTTACCATTTCCGTAAGACTAAATATGAAAATATCAGCCAAGGATACAAAAATTCATAGGAAGACTCACACTAAGTCATCTCAAAACATATTAAAAATTAAATGGTACTAGTATAGTACCATTTGTATAAATGGTACTAGTATAATGATGAATGGACTAGAATTAAGTGTCCAAACTAAACTCATACGTCTACGGTAAACTAACTTTTAACAGAGGCACTAAAACCACTCAATGAGAAAAGAATTACTTCTTTAATTAATGGTCAAAACCAAATCAAAATGGATCGAGGACCTTAATGTAAAAACTGAAACTATAAAACCCTTAGAAAAAGGCACAGGAATAATGTTTTGGGGCCTAGTATGGAGAAATGGATACTTCAATACGACAGCAAAAGCGGAAGATGACAAAGCAGATTAAGTAGGACTTAATCTAAATTTTAAAAAGTTGTTCATCAAAGGACTTTATCAATAAACTGAAGAAGCTATAAGTTGGGAGAAAATAGGGGGGTCAAAATCATCTAAAACTAGTTTAATTTTTGTAAAACAATTGGAATACCTAGACATAAATAAAAGACAAAATAATTTAAAAATTGGCTAAGGACTTAATGATGAACAAAATATGACACATACATACAACAGAACACTACTTGGTCATACAGAAAGATGAAGTTCTGACACATGTTACAACATGGACAAACCTTGAAAACATTATGCTGAGTGAAATACATCAGTCACAAAGGGCAAATATCATATGACAGGCTTCAAAAAATATACAGAAAAGTAGAATTAAAATATTCACAAACTTTTTGAAGCCCCTCATATGAAATATCTGGAATGGAAAATAGATGGTTTATTAGTGATTCCCTGGGGCAAGCAGGAGAAGGAAAGTTTTTCACAAAGCACTAAAATCAGTTACAGGTGATGGAAAAACTTGGAAATGGATAGCTGTTACGAGACTTGTCTCACATCCTTTGGGTGGGTTATCAAGAGGGGGCAGTTCTAAGAGAAGAACACCATGTTTGATAGCGAATCAGTGAAAAAGAGGGCTTTTGATGAAATGGACTTATAGTGGCTGCAACCATGGACTTAACAGGAAAGACTGTGAGGATGATGCAGGACCAGGGAGCTTTTCATTCCGTTTGCTATGAGCCAGAACCCACTCGACAGCACCGAACAGATGGCTGCACATCAAGGTGAAAGCAATGAATGTCACTGAACTGGGTATGTAACAAATGAATGGAAAATGACTTGTTAGGTGTACCTTTACTATAATAGGAAAATAAGTAAGAATACAAGGGACAACCCAAACGAAGTAAAAATTCATTTTGCTTAAGATGGTCCGAGTTGGGTTGATGATCACAGATCTGGTAGCATTATAAAATTATTAGGCTATTCTATCTTTCAGATCTCCTATATATATTTCATTTCAGACAAAATGCCCTCGCGCCACCAATCTGGGAGATCTCTAATGTTTAATGAGAATAAGAAAATAAGATTCCTATTGAAATTGAAATTTACTTTAATTTGGCAGTAAATTTCTTCTATAAAGCTAAGAACTACAAAGAAAGTAAACACTGGTATTAATCCACGTTTGAAAGTATTAACCGACTTACTGGAAGTAAATCTGAAATGAAAGTCTTCTGTCTGGCTTTTCTTTTATGAGGAATTTCTTCCATTTCTTCACTTTCAATTACAGTGCCACTACTAACATTTTCTAATATTTCCTCTGTCTCGGAAGCAGTCTTCAACCTTTGAGTTTCAGCGACCTTCATCTGAACAACTGTTTCACCAGCATCTATTTCCAAAGTTTCAGATAAGACCTTTAGTAAGGCATTTATGATTTCTGCCTGACTTTTGGAAGGAATGACGTTCTTTAGATTCCAAACTGTGCCTGGAAAAAATGAACATAGAACAAAAGAATCACCTGTGAAATTTTTCATTAAGTATAGCTTCCCCAAGATTCGCTCTTTAAGCTATTTTAATTTCAAAAATCTCAACCCTACTGCGTTTACTCAGATTTTGTTAAGATGTAAAAAAGCAACGAAGAGAGACAGCTCCCTTAATGACAATCTTTCATGATAATCTCCCTTTCCTGATCCACTACGTATCAGCAAACTAGGGTAATGCAAATAAAGTTTCTTTTAAAATGGCATATTAAATTGCTTTATTTCCTATTGTTTTAACCTGAGCTGTTCTCCAAAATGGTTACTTATATTCTAGGAGTAGAATAAAACTCCAAAATCTCAGAAAGCAGGTTTCTCTCTCTCTCTCTCTCTCTTAATAAAATAGAATAGTAACTATTGTTAATTAGTGAGATTAAATTATATATTGTCATTTTTAAAAAATAACGTTTTATTATAAATTTTTTTCAAAAGACAAAAACTAAAAAATAGCCTTGCCTGACTCAATACTTGTCACCATGAAGAGGTCACTGAAGATAGGGGTGCTAAAGTACAATCAAATGGTGATGAAATCAGATGGTCCCAGGCTATCAGAAAGAATAGCATCTGGCGATAGGGAAATAGATCTATGTGAATATATGTATAGGTTTAGTACTAAGGTGGCAGATGGACATTGGGCCTCCACTCAAATATTCCCTCAATGCAAGAACACTTTGTTCTATTAAACTGGCATTCCATGATGCTCACCTTCCCGACACAAGCAAATGTGGTGAAGAAAGCTGATGGTGCCCAGCTAGCAAAAGATATAGCATCTTGGGTCTTAAAGGCTTGAAGATAAATGAGCCGCCATCTAGCTGAGAAGCAACAAAGCCCACATCACTAGCCTGTGTGATCATGACATATCATGATAGGATCAGGTATCAAAGAACAAAAAATCTTATCATTGTGAATGAGGGGGAGTGTGGAGTGGAGACCCAAAGCCCATCTGTAGGCAACTGGACATCCCCTTACAGAAGGTTTACGGGGAGGAGACGAGCCAGTCAGGATGCAATATATAACCAAAGAAACACAGTTTCTTTAATGCGTTCTAGTTCTAGTTCTATAATGCGTCCTCACCCCACCCCGCCTCCGCCACTATCATGATCCCAATTCTACCTTAGAACTCTGGCCAGACCAGAGGATGTACACTGGTACAGATAAGAGCTGAAACACAGGGGATCCAGGACAGATAAACCTCTTAGGAACAATAATGAGAGTAGCAATGCCAGGAGAGTAAGGGGAATGTGGGGGAGAAATGGAGAACTGATCACAATGATCTATATATAACCCCCTCCCTCCCTGGGGGACGGACAGAAAAGTGGGTAAAGGGAGACATCCGACAGTGTAAGTCATGAAAAAGTAATAATTCATAAATTATCAAGGGTTTGTTAGGGAGTGAGTGGGTGAGTTAGGGAGTGAGGGAGGGGGGAAAATGTAGAAAGCAAATGTTTTGAAAATGATGATGGCAACAAATATACAAATGTGTTTGACACAATGGATATACGTATGAATTGTGTTAAGAGTTGTATGAGCCCCGAATAAAGTGATGTATTAAAAATATTAGCATCTGGGGTTTTAAAGGCTTGAGGTGTTAACTAAGTCTACACAGAAGAAGCACATGAACCTGTGTGTTCAATATTTATTAACAATAAAAGCCAAGATTAGAGGGAGAGACTGTATCAGAGATTAAATTCTGAACTTGGTTTGCAAAAGGCTATGGATAAGTTAAAGCATAAAATCCATTTACAGAGCCACCACAATGACTAAATTCTCCAATGATGACCACGGATGAGTAGTCTTTGGCCAAGAGAGCATCCAAATATAGTTAAGGTAGAATTTAACATCTTACCATTTGTGCTTCCTTTAAACCCATTTTCAACTTGTTTTAGTGTTTAATATATTCATTATCTTTCAGATTAAGGTTCTTCTGTGTTTTAATCTATTATAGGTACTGGGGTGTTTTGGGGTGGTGGTGGTTTCTTTTATTTACTTGAATAAGCTGTAAATGAAATTATGGATACATAATAGCAAAAGCAACTAGATTAAAAGTTTCTTAGGGTTAAAACTGGGACAAAAAGGGGAGCTAATAATAAGATACAAGAATGAAGAAAATATTCTAAAATTGATTGGGGCGATGAATACACAACTCTATTACTGAATTATATATGTGAACTATATCAATCAACTGTTAATAAAGAAGAAAAATGGCCTTTGGGCAGCCAAACGGCAAAAGGAAAATATATGAAGAAATGATATGAAATACATACTACTCAAAAGACCATCAAATTATTTCTTATTTATCTACTAAAAAATTCTGTGAAGAAAAGGTTGGGTTAAAGGGCTTGTCAATTTTTTTTTTTTTTTTTGAGTTCTGCAAACTTTTTTAAAAAATAATTTTATTGGGGGCTCATACAACTCTTACCATAATCCATACATACATCCATTGTGTCAAGCACATTTGTACATTTATTGCCCTCATCATTCTCAAAACACTTGCTTTCTGCGTGAGCCCTTGGGAAAAACTCATTTTTTCCCTTCCCTCCCCGCCACCCCTTCCCTCATGAACCCTTGATAATTTATAAATTACTATTCTGTCATGTTTTACACTGTCCAATGTCTCCCTTCACCCACTTTTCTGTTGTCCATCCCTCAGTGCGGGGGTTATATGTAGATCCTTGTAATGGGTTCCCCCCTTCTACCCCACCTTCCCTCTACACTCCCAGTATCACCACCCTCACCACTAGTCCTGAAGAGTTCATCTGTCCTGGATTCCCTGTTTCCAGTTCCTACCTGTACCAATGTACATCCTCTGGTCTAATCGGATTTGTAAAGTAGACTTGGGATCATGATAGTGGGGGGAGGAAGCATTAAAGAAGTAGAGGAAAGTTGTATGTTTCATTGTTGCTATACTGCACCCTGACTGGCTCATCTCCTCCCCGTGACCCTTTTGTAAGGGATGTCCAGTTGCCTACAGATGGGTTTTGGGTTCTCACTCCGCACTCCCTCTCATTCAAAATAATATGATCTTTTTGTACTTTGATGCCTGATACCTGATCCCATCAGCACCTCGTGATCACACAGGATAATGTGTTTCTTCCATGTGGGTTTTGTTGCTTCTCAGCTAGATGGCAGCTTCTTTACCTTCAAGCCTTTAAGACCCCAGGCGCTTTATCTTTTGATAGCCGGGTACCATCAACTTTCTTCATCTCATTTGTTTACATACCCCCTTTGTCTTCAGTGATCATGTCGGAAGGTGAGCATCATGGAATGCCAGTTTAATAGAACGAAGTGTTCTTGCATTGAGGGAGTACTTGAGTGGAGGCCCAATGTGTATCTGCTACCTTAATACTAAATTTATAAATATATGCACATAGATCTATTTCCCCATCATCATATATAAATATATTTACATATGTGCATGCCTGATTTTAGACCTGTACAAATGTCCTTTAGGACTTGTCAATTTTTTAACTCAAAATAATAGAAGGGACCCTGATAAGTTATTTCCTGTTTTCTAAAACAGTTTTATTGGCACATAACCTACATAACATATAACAGTTCAACCATATCAAGAAAAGGTGTACTATAATTGCCACAATCAATTTGAGAATATTTTCTTTGTTCTTGTACTCATTGTTATTAGTTCCCCATTTCCTTCCAATCTCCCGTGCCACACCCCCATGAAACCATTAAATAAGATGGTGTTTCTATAGATTTAAATATCCTGGATTTCATATACAGAAAAACATATAAAAAAACACACCAAAACACGAACAATAACAAAGTAAAACAGAACAATCTCAATTGAAAAGCAAAGTAGAAAATATTAAAAACTAGAACAAATTTAAAATGGGTCAAGTGACAAGATGTTAAATTTTAAGCTAACTATAGTACAGGTTTGTGATAGTCCACTTTCCAATGCACTCTGCATGAAAGCAGGGTGTTCACATCCCTGGTCTACGGTCAGAGAGGCTTCACCCGAGGCTTTATTCATGTGTATTTCTTTCTCTCTTTTTTTTAAGTTGGAACAACTTTTAAATAGGTCAATAGGGAGATCAAAAGATAAGATATTATACCTTACCCTAACGATATTTGCCATAATGAGCCCTGATGAAGTAGTGGTTACACTCTGGGCTACTATCTATGAGGTCAGCAGTTCAAAACCACCAGTTGCTCTGCAGGAGAAAGACAAGGCTTTCCATTCCCGAAAATAGTTGAACTAGGAAATTCACAGAGGCAGTTTTATCCTGTCCTATAGGGTTGCTATGAGTTGGCACTGATTCCATAGCTTGAGTTTTGTTTGGTCATCTGCCATTATCAACTTTATAATGCTGTCTGATAACAAGGCTATTCATATCCCTCATTAATCTATGTATGGACCCTGCAAATGGATTCTGGGCTTCCACTGTTGTCTATAGCCTTCTGAAAATCAGGTGTTCATAATTTAAGCTCTAATACCATTCTTTCCTTTGGATTTGAATTATATCATTTACAATCTTTGGATCACAAAAGCTGGTGTGCTTCTTCCATATGGACTTAGTTGATACGTGTCTTAGTTGACATCTGGCTTTTTGAGCACAAGCCTTTGGAAGACCCCAGACACTATTCTTTCTGATAGCTAAGCACAATTTAATTTATTGGCTATAGTACCCATTTCTTCAGTATTCTTTTCGTGAGGGCAAGCATCAAGCAGGGTCATGTCATAAGTACTAACTGTTCTTAGATTTAGGCTAGAATTAAGTATAAGGCCAAAATCCATTCAAATAGCTATGGTTTTTAAATGTCTCCGGTTCATGTTAAAGACGGCATTGCCATTTTATGTTAGGAGCATAACAGTTATCTCCGTGAGGCATAAAGTAATTCTATTGATAGTGTCATAAATTTAGCCAATGGTATAGAATTTAAAACACAGTTGAGAAAAAGAAATTATTCAGGTATAGGCCACCTATGAACCTCAATATACCAACTTTTGACTTGTGCAGATCAAACTCTTAAGTAATACTATTTACACACACAATGGGGGTAGATGATAAGGCAAAACTTTCAATACTACTTCTTGACAGCAGCAGAACCATGCCTTCCAGGTTAATGCATGTCACAGTAAAGCAAGAGGGCATTAAAATTTCTTTAGCAGATGATATTTTATTAGAAAAGAAATCTAGTCTAGAAGGCTTGACAAATATGGAGAACTGCTTGAATTAAGAGTCTCCACTTAGCGTGATGGTAAACAAGCGGCCATCTAGCTCAGAAGCAACAAAGCCCACATGGAAGAAGCACACCAGCCTGTGTGATCATGAGGTGCCAAAGGGATCAGGGAACAGGCATCAAAGAACAAAAAATCCTATCATTGTGTGCTCACCTCCCCAAAACGATTGCTGAAGACAAATGGGTGCATAAGCAAATGTGGTGAAGAAAGCTGATGGTGCCCGGCTATCAAAAGATACAGCATCTGGGGTCTTAAAGGCTTGAAGGTAAATAAGCGGCCATCTAGCTCAGAAGCAACAAAGCCCACATGGAAGAAGCACACCAGCCTGTATGATCACGAGATGTTGACGGGATTAGGTATCAGGCATCAAAGAACAAAAAAACCACATCATTGTGAATGAAAGGGAGTGTGGGGGGAGACCCAAAACCCATCTCTAGGCAATTGGACATCCCCTTATGAAGGGATCACAGGGAGGAGACGAGCCAGTCAGGGTGCAGTGTAGCAAAGACGAAACATACAACTTTCCTCTAGTTCTTAAATGCTTCCTCCCCACACTATCATGACCCAATTCTACCTTGAAAGTCTGGCTAGACCAGAGGATGTACACTGGTACTGATAGGAACTGGAAACACAGGGAATCCAGGGTGGATGAGGCAGTGGTGAGAGTGGTGGGAGGGTGGGGTTGGAGGGGATACCGATTACAAGGATCTACATGTGACCTCCTCCCTGGGTGACGGACAACAGAAAAGTGGGTAAAGGGAGACGTCGGACAGTGTAAAACATGACAAAATAATAATTTATAAATTATCAAGGGTTCATGAGGGAGGGGAGAGCAGGGGGTTTGGTGAGGAGCTAATGCCAGGGGCTTAAGTTGAAAGCAAATGTTTTGAGAATGATGAGGGCAATGAATGTACAAATGTGCTTTACACAATTGATGTATGTATGGATTGTGATAATAGTTGTATGTGCCTCAAATAAAATTATATAAAAAAAGAGTCTCCACTTAAATATTAAAATCTTCAGAACAGACATATAAGCATAAGATAGACTAATAAAACCAGATATGATGAAATGAAGGAAGAACTGAAACATAAGCTCCCATTACTACATGCTAAAAGATATTAAAATGATACATTATCCCTCTGGCTAAATCTTACCTGCTACCAATGTTTTTAATAGAATGTACTCCATGGAATTGACAGGCAATAGCATTGCTGATTCTAGTACATGCAACCCTGCATCATTAAAAGATTTCAGTAACTCTGGGTTATCTTCAGTGACAATCTGCAAACAGTATGCTATAACGACAAAAATTAAATAATTAGAAACAAATTCTTCTTACAATAACATAAAACAATTCAACTCACGATAAAGCATTTTCATGTTCACAGCTACTTTACATACATGTATAATTTACCTCAATGATGGTATAGGCAAGTAAGTTTTATAAAAACTATTAGTATTGCAAAATACTTAATTTTTTTCTATTGCCCTACAGAACATTTTTATAAAGCACAATTACAAAGTTCATAAAGGCCATGACAATGTCAAATTACAATAAACATTTATAAGTTTGTTTTCAATTTCTGTTTTTACCATAGAAATACCAGTCTGTGGACTATCACTAATTGATAAACCACATTTATTTTCCCACTCCATTACTTTAAAAAAACTATTGGCACATAATTTACATAGCACACAATAGTTCAATCATTCAATCATGTCAAGAACTATACAATCATTACCATATCAATTTTAGAACATTTACCCCCCATGATTAAATTACCTTTACCATGAGTTGTGCAATAACAGTCAGTTCTAATACTTCCTCCCCCCTCCTGCCTTCATTCCTACTCCTGAAACCCCCCTTCCTATCACCCACTCCCCACTTCTGCATCAGTTATTATCCCTATGCATCCATTCCTCCTGTGGGTCACAAACTGGGCAACCCCAAAGGAGTAACAAAATCCCAAATCAAAATAAGGTGGAAAGGATAAAATAATAATAATAATGTAGGGATCAAAATACAGATATTGAGTAAGAAAGAAAAGACCCTCATCAACATTCCAAAAGCCAGGAAATAAATTTGTTATGGAACAATAAGAGATACTTGCACCCTGAAACAACTCAGGTCGGGTCTAAAGGGAGGTCATCTGGCCAAGCATCAAGTTCAATTCAGCATATTCAAGACTACAATGGTCTCTGACTGACAGCTTGGCTGGTCAAGACTTGCCTGTGGCTCAAGCTGATCTGCCTTCAGCTCCGTCTGACCAGATATTCAGCAGATGGGTTTTGGGTTCCCACTGTCCTCCGTAGCCTTCTACAAATTGGATGTTCATAATTTTAGCTCTGATACTTTTCCCTTCGCCAAATTACAATTATTTAATTGCCATCTGTGGACCACACAAGCTGGTGTGCTTCTTCCGTGTGGAATTAGTTGATTCCTCACTTCGATGACTGCTTATTTGAAGACAAGCCTTTACGGCCCCAGACACTATTTCAGTTGACAGCCAGGCACCATGTACTTTTTTCGCCAAACATTGCTGTAGCACCCTCAACTTCAGTGATCCATTCATGAAGGTATCAAGCAAGGCCATGTTATCAGAACTAACTGTTCTTGAATTGGGGCTAGATCCATTACCTTCATTTAAAAACTTTTAAAATTGTAAATTAGGTGGGGGTTTACATTTCAGATCATCCAGTTTGTATTCAACTGTTTAAGCTAATAAACCCCAGGCCCTCCTGCTCCAATAATTTACCCTTCATCTACTTCTTGATTTCTCTTTATCCTCTTGTGGATCGTTCTCTTCCATTTCACCCAAGTTAATGCCTGCCACAGAATAGCTTATTGCTTTTTCTACCGTGGCATTCTCCAGACTGTTCCTTTAAGTATGAAAGTTCTCCTTTATTTTCCCCCTCACAGTGGTCTCATCTAATAGTTGTCCTTTTGTGATGGGCTGGTTTCACTCAGCAAAATGTTCTCCAAGTCCATCCATTCCATGAGGTATTTAGTGTGTTTGTCACTGTTCTCTAGAGATGCACAGCACTACCGTGTATATATACACCGAAATTTCTTTATCAATTCTTTCACTGATCGGCATTTAGACTGTTTCCATTTTCTTGATATTGTGAATCATGCTGCGATAGACAGACATTTCTGTTCATGTCATAACTGTCACTTCTTTTTAGTATATGTACGCAGTAGAGTGATTGCTGAATCACATAGAATTTCTTGTCCCAGTTGTTTGAGGTAGCACCTCATCAGTGCCTGCAGTGGTTGTATGAATTTACAGTTCCAATCTCTCCAAAGCCTCTCCAGCACTGGTTATTTGAACTTGGCTGTCACTGTTGGTATGGAGCCTGAGTGGTGTAGCGATTACGAGTTGGGCTGCAATCTGCATGGTCAGCAGTTTGAAACCACCTGCAGCTCCGAGGGAGAAAGACCAGGCCTTGTACTCCTGCACACAGTTACAGTCTCAGCAAGCCACAGGGAGCTGCTCTGGGTCAGCACTGATGCCACTGCAGTGATTTCAGCTGGGATGGTCATCTTACAGTTTTGACTTGCCTCTCTCAGACAGTTAGTGATCATGAGCATTTCTTCATGTTTGTTGATCATCTAAATGTCATCTGTAGTGAATTGTCTGTTCCTACCCTTTGCTCACTTTATAACTGAGTTATTTGGTTTTTTTTCTTATTAAAGTGTTTGTTTTCTGTAAATTTTAGAAATTAGTTCCTTGTTCACTGTGTCATTATCAAAGATACTTTTCTGCACTCTTTTGATAAACTTTTTGATGCACAAGTGTCTTATTTTTAGTAGGTCCCAATCATCTATTTTGTCTTCCTTTGTTATATTTGATACTGTCTATGCCCTGCAATAGGGCCTTTAAGTTTTTCCCCAATTTCTCATTGATAATCCTTAAAGGCTCTCTGATTTACACTTAGGTCTTTGATCCATCTTGAGTATGTTTTGTACCTCGGGCTAGGTATGGGTCCTGTTTACAACAGTAGAATGCCTTAACCATTTACTGAGGCTGGTGGTTTCGAAATGCGAACTCTGAGGTTAGCAGTCCAACTCTTATTCCACTACACCAACAGGACTCCTCCACCTAGATACAAGGGGGCTTCAAAAAGTTTACAGAAAAATTCCATTATCTTTCAATCCCATTTTTCCATGAGCTTTTTGAAGGCCTTTAGTATTCACCAAAATTTAAAATAATAATAGTAATAAAAGATCAAAGAAAGCTGTATTGAAACATAATACACTGTAATGGAATAGCAGGGAAAAAAGCCAAAACAAACTTTACTATATTAAGCTTATTTAACTTTCTAACGTAAGTTGACTTTATTAAATAAATCATATGCCAAGTCAAATGGAGAAGGAAAAACACAATACGATACAATAAAATGCAAAATGTCCACAACTCACTTCAAAAAAGTTCACTGGGGGAGGGTTAGAAATCACAAAATAGACTTATGAGTCATAGAAAGAGAAGTGAAATTTTTCTTATAAAAGTTATGAATTAAAAGGGAGAGGGAGGCTGCAAAAAAAAGTTATGAATTAACTTTTCTGAAATTCTGTAATAATAAAAGTTGTCCGCTGAGAATAAAAGTCCTCATCAACTTCCTATTTCAAGTCTCCTAAAATCATAGATTTTAAGAGTTGAAGGATTGTAGCCTTCAGATGGATAAAAATTCAATGTATGGGGAAGCCCAAGATCCTCACAAGTGGACCAAAAGCAGCATCATGATGAATGGAGAAAAGGTTGAAGTTGTCACGAGTTTCGTCTTTGTTGGATCCAAAATCAATGCTCATGGAAGCAGCAGTCAAGAGATCAAGACTCATTGCGTCAGTAAATCTGCTGCACAAGATCTCTTTAGAGTCCTGAAAATCAAGGACACTATATTTTGAGGACTAAGGTGCCCCTGACCCAAGTCCTGGTATTTTCAATTGTTTCATGTGCATGTGAAAGTTGGAAGCATGTGACAGTGAATAAGGAAGATCTAAGAAAAATCGATGCATTTGAATGATGGTGCTCGTGAATAATATTGAAATTACCATGGACTGCCAATAGAACAAACAAATCAGTCTTGGAAGGAGTAGCCAGAGTGCTCCTTAGAGACAAGGATGTCAAGACTTCATCTTACATACGCTAGACATATTGTCAGAAGAGACCAGTCTCTGGAGAAGGACATCATGTTTGGTAAAATAGAAGGGTGTTAAAAGAGGAAGACCCTCCACAAGATGGACTGACACAGTGGCTGCATTATGGGCTCAGGCATCAGAACACTGAGGATAGCACAGGGCTGTACAGTGTTTTGTTCAGTTGTGTATAGGGTCGCTACGGGTCGCAGCCGGCAGTACCTGACAACAAAATCACAGAATTTTGGTAGAATGGAAATTCAATCGAGAAATTAAATTTCTCCAGTATTATTTGATCCATTTTTCTCTACCTTTCTCTTAAAAAATATTCATTAGAGCCAAAAGTAAGATCAACGAGGGGAATTCACTTTGCCTAGCTGGGAGAAACATTAAGATGATTGCCATTATGATGGTTAAGAAAAAAAGACACCACTTATCAATAATTTTTCTACTCTGACCCAGTTTTCTGTTGAGTCTCTCACCCCTCTGGTTTTTGTCTCCGTCCCCTGCTTAACTAAGTGCCCCCAGGAACTCTTGAGCCCAATTTAGAGAAGGGTGGACAACAATGAAGGTGTTGAATTTTGCTTTCCCTGCCTCACGGAAGAGGAGTAGGACTAAGTGAAGTTCTCATCACTTCTTCCGGGATTTCGGCTGGAAGTACAAGGTACAAGATATTTAACTAAGTCTAGATCTCAGTTAACTTTGGTCCAAGGGCCTGGTAGTTGTGGTTTACTGTTCCATAGCAAATGGAGAAGAAATTCCAGAGATTCAAAGACTAGAGCTTCTAAGAATGGTAGTAGACTAGAAATAAAGTGTATGGTCTCTTCCGCCCTTTCAGAGTGAAAAGCAGAAGAATTTTGTAAGTATGCATCACAGATGTTAAGAATAAAAAAACCCTCTTCAGCTGCATATTTAAATATGAGGATAAAATCACTCTAAACGTGGCATATCTTAATGAAAATGTTTTAATAATACTATACATAATAAAACATCACCCTTTCATCACTTACCTACTGAAATAGCCAAGTCAACATTGGTGGAAAACCTACTTAAAAACTTTAATATACTCTCCAAACACCCTTCTTTGTTGAATATAGATACTGCTTTACTACTGCATTCACTAAAGGGAGAGAAAAAAGTTTTACTACTCATATTTCATTTATTTATTTTTAAATTATTAAATACTCTTACTGGGGGCTCTTACAGCTCTTATCACAATCCATATATGCATCCATTGTGTCAAGCACATTTGTACATATGTTGCCATCATTTTCTTTTATTATTTTTATTTTTTCAAATTTCATCCAATCTTTTAATTTTTATTAAAAGATCATTTTATTGGGGGCTCTTGCAACTCTTGTTACAAATCAGACATCATTTGTATTTGACATATTAGTACATATATCCCATCGTTCTTTTCTAGACATTTACTTTCAGAAAAAAATTACAATCTCCCTTTCGACCCGTTCTTTATTTTCTTTGGGGGGCTCTATCTTTAATGTTGTAGTTTTTAAAAATTATTTTGTTTTCTTTTGGAATGAGGGTTTTCTGTATTACTTTGTTATTGTTGTTAGGGGTGGAGTTGTGAGTTTCTTTATATGAAATCCAGAATAGGTAAACATATAGAGACAGTAACTAACTTAATACTTTCATAGGGTTATGATGGGAGGGGACTGGGGAAACACGGGAAGCTAATAATATCGAGTATAAAAATGAACATTTTCTAAAATTGATCGCAGTGATGATTACATATCATTGGATTCTACAAATGTTTTTATGAAGCTCCTTTAGTTAACACATAAAAAAGACACCCCAAATTATATTTTATTCAGTCCTAGATCACTGTTATGTCAACAAGCAGAACTAAGCAGCTTGCAATGGAGAAATTATTTTCAAATAATTATCTTTGAAATTACACTACTTTTTAAAAAATCAGACAGCCCATCGATATTATAAGAACACATTTTAGGGCAACAACATAAACCCTCCATAAACAGAAAGAAAAAATAAACAAGACAATAAGTTGGCTCTCAGGAAAAAAGAGAAGCTTGTACCAAGGCCTCTGGTAGAAAACGTTTTGGAAATGATGATGGCAACACATGTACAAATATGCTTGATACAATTGATGTATGGAATGTTATAAGAGCTGTAAGAACCCCCAATAAATTGTTTTTTTAATTAAAAAAAAAAAAAAGAACACATTTTAAATGCAAACTAAACAGGGCTAATCAGAAAAATTTAGTCATGTTTGCATAGAAAGGTAGACTCCACACATACCACATAAACTTAACAAACAGCTAACAAAAGTAAGTTACAAAATCACTTTAGTAAGTTACTAAATCCTTTTGAAACTATTGTCCGTGTATCCAGTCGCTGAGACACTACTATAAGCTTGTTCTTAAAATAACCAAAGTTGAGGCTGGAAAATAAGGCATGTGTAAAGGTAATCTAAAAATATAAAGCAAGGAAGTTCAAAATTATTGTAACTGTAAATTAATAGATGGGTCTCTTAGGCATATAAGAAAGATATAACTTTGGAGGTATATTCAGGCTTTCTTTTTTTAAAATCATTTTATTGGTGGCTTGTACAACTCTTATTACAATCCATACATACATCCATTTTGTCAAGCACACTTGTACATTTGTTGCCATCTTCATTTTCAAAATAGTCAGGCTCTTTTCAAAGAATTCTTTAAAATATTTCCAATTCCAATAATGTATACAAGTTAAAAGTTATTGGTACAATAGAAATATTGCACCCAGTGAATCCCCGATGAAACATAAAACTTTCCTCTAGTTCTTTAATGCTTCTTCCCCCGCTCCCCACGCCACTATCAAGACCCCAGTGCTACCTTACAAATCCGGCTAGTCCAGAGGATGTACACTGGTACAGATGGAACTGGAAACACAGGGAATCCAGGACAGATGAAGCCCTCAGGGCCAGTGGTGAGAGTGGCAATACTGGACGGTGGAGGGAAGGTAGGATAGAAAGGGGGAACTGATCACAAGGATCTACATATAACCCCCTCCCTGGGGGATGGACAACAGAAAAGTGAATGAAGGGACACGTCAGACACTGTAAGACATGACAAAATAATAATAATTTATAAATTATCAAGGGTTCGTGAGGAAGGGGGGGGCGGAAGGGAGGGGAAAAATGAGGAGCTGATACCAAGGGCTCTAGTATAAAGTAAATGTTTTAAGAACGATGATGGCAACAAATGTACAAATGTGCTTGACACAATGGATGGATGTATGGATTGTGAGAAGAGTTGTATGAACTCCCAATAAAATGATTTAATAAGGGGAAAAAGAGGAAAAAGAAATACTGTACCCACTAATTTTTTTAAGGCACCACAGTAGTGTAGGGGGTTAATGGTGCTGGGCGGCTAATCACAAGGTCAGTAGGTCCACCAGCTACTCCTTGGGAGAAAAAGGCGGCTTTCTGCTCCCACACAGATAAAGGGGCAACTCTGTCCTCTACAGTTACTGTGAGTCAAAACTGACTTGAGGGTAGTGGGTGCCAGTTTGCTGTGATGGCAATTTCCCTAATCTGATCTATCCCATTTTTCTGGTGGAATATATCTAGTAGTTTTAAATACATGATAAGCAAGTTCAGATGGTTAGGAAGTCAACTTTTCAGGATCCTATTCAATCCTCATTCTAAGAAACACCTTTGCTTTCAGGGGAAATGTTGTAGTCACTGTTGAGAGACTACAAAATGTGGGGCATAAAATGAGAAAGGGGGGTGGGAGGAGGAGGATTCAAGCTGTAAATCTAGCCATTTAAATTCCTAACATGACATTCACTCCATTGCCACCACTACTACTTAGCAGGGAATGAACATGGCCTCTACTTCCAACTAGGCCAAGGTAACCCTTTTATATACTTGATTTTCTGTCAAATGGCCGTTGCTCTGGTGGGTAATGAGTTATGTCTTGGCCTGCTAATCACAAGGTCAGCATTTTGAACCCTCGGCAGCTCCACAGGCGATGACGGTGTCTACTTCCATGAAATTTTAGTCTGAAATTCACAAGGGCAGTTCTATGGGGTCACTGTGAATTGGAACCAACTCAATGGTGGTGAGGTTTTTTGTTTGTTTGTTTAAGTCAGATTGTTTAACTGTCAGAGCAAAAATGTAAAGCAAGGTCTGGTTTCTCCAGAAGCCAAACTAAAGTAGCCACTGTCGTGGGACCTGCCTAACTTTAAAGCTATTGCTGCTTAGGGTATGTGGATGATGGAGGAAGAAGGGGCACATTATGTACTCATGGTCAGGGGTCCAAGTGTCTTTAACTTCTTTCCAGTCATTGCTGTTGACAAAACAATACTTAATGTGCCCCTTTTTTCTTCCATCATCCACATACCCTAAGTAGCAATAGCCTTAAAGTTAAAGACACCGACAAAATGAAGTGATGCTATGAGGAAAAGGACTCGTTGGGAAAGACAGCTGATCTTGGGTCAACCAAGTATTAGGTAGAAGTTCCAGGTCTATCGAGGAGAGATTGTTAAATAGCTTAACCGAGCAGCAGTCTGAGCAGCACTCTAGCAGGAGGCTGAGTCTGAAAGGCATCTTACCATATATTCCACAGCACGTTCACAGCCTCATTGGCTAGGTTCTCAAAAGAACTTCTGTTCTGATCTTTTGCATCTTGTGGAGACATCTCATTTGAATCCAATCCAGCACTACACTGAAAGCAAATACATTGATTAGCACCCCGATTCAAATGAAGAATTACAACAAAAAATGTCCTGGTGATGAAGAATCATAAAACTATTAACCTGGAAAAGAACAGTGGTTAACAGGCCAATTGAATTCTCATAAGGAGTCAATACCACAACCCTGCTCTCCTTGTGACAAAAGCTAAATACAAGGAATATTTTTCCAATCTTTGTGAAAACTAGATATAAAGATTTTTCATGAAAATGAAAAAATCAATACAAAGTATTTTTAAATGAAAGGTCCACTGTTTAAACTCAGCAATGACTCAGGAGGAGAAAAGGCCTGGCTCTCTGTTTCCTTAATGACTACAGCCTAGGAAACCCTACAGAGCAGTTCTACTTTCATACACGAGTTGGAAACTACTTGACAACAAACAATAATATCTATTCAGTACCTTCTATGTTTAAGGAACTATTCTACGCAATTTTCATATGAGGGGTAAGTCAAAGAGTATTGCTACAAAATCACAGAAACTTTCATTAAGGAAATAGTTCAATATTTTTTTCTAGACATACGCTCTACCTAGGGCTATACAACTTCCCCTACCCCTTTATGTTCTCTTTTTAAAAAAATCAGTTTTATTGGCATATAATTCACATCATACAATTCAATAGTTCCATTACATCAAGAAGAGTTGTACAATCATCAACACAATAAAGTTTAGAACATTTTCTTCATTGTTGTACCCATCATTCTTAGTTCCTTATTTCCCACCATCCTCCTCTGCAAGAGCTATGCAAGGGTTTCCATTTCTAACCCTCCATCAAAGACGGAGCCGCTTTTACACCACAGCGAATGATAAATTTGCTATACTCCACAACAAACCCAGGGACAAGGGAACAACAAGCGATCCAAATTGGTGGGCAGGTGGGTGTGGGAGACCTGGTAGGGCA